GTGTACGTGCGCTCGCGCTGCCCGAGTCGGTCTTACCGGCCATCCACGAGGCGAGGTCAAAGTTCTGTAACTGCGATGCCGTGTTGGTGTTTCCGGAGCCTAGGACGCCGTTCTTCTTCATCTCCTCGAATTCTTCTTTCATCTCGGGGTCCACTACGCGTGTGTTAGTAACCTTGGCAGTACCTAACGGGCTGCCGAGAGACTTACTGTTCTCCATCAATTTGGGCATGCCGAAGATGAGACCCATGGACACTATCGCCATGAGAATCATCGGATTCTTCAAGAATGACAGCGGCGAAACTGCAGCGTGTTAGCACAATCTCCCCATTGCGCATTGTCGCGATGCCAACTTACAGCCTTGCCTCTCTTGGTAGAAGTACTTGGTTCCCACCGGCCTGGCTTCAACCACCAGACCGCTACCGCCCTCGCCGCGGCTCTCTCCCTTGTTATCCCATTCGTTACCCAGGAAGGTCTGGTATGCCCTGATCATCTCCTTCTTCTCCCCGCTGCCCTCTGCCGCCTCCTCCACGGTGACATCAATCCTCAGTGGCTCGAACGCATAGTCGCGGCAATGCACGGTAGCAAGGTAGCTTCCAGCGCTCACATTGTTGAAGTTGAACGTGTTGGAGCGCGTGAGATAGGCATCAAGGGGCGGGCCGGAGGACTGGAGCGTTGCGTGCGTGGTCGAGGGGAGCGTGGACGGGTTGACAAGGACCGTGTTCGGGATTTGCAGCAGCAGGCGTGCCGCGCTTGTGAGCGTCGCAAAGGACGAGAGGGTGGCGAGTGACGTCTTCATCGTGGCGTGGGTTGAGCGGGTCGTGAGGTTGATCATGTCGCTCTGGTGGGCGATGGATGCTCGATGCGCGAGAACAGCGCACGGACCTCAGACATGCTAGAATTCGTGTCGCAGTTTGCAGTATGCACACTATCAGTTATGAATGACTAGGCAATTTCTAGGTCAATGTGGACCCCTTTCCGAGTATCCAGGGAGCCCTCGCCAACTATGCCCAAATTCGTTATCGTAGCACTAGTAGTACGAGAAGTCAAGAGGAACAGCATCACGTAGTGGTGAGATGTTGGGCTACCAAAACGAGGGAGTAATGCGGTTGGCTTCATCTGTTACATTGCACTGATACTTGAGTAGTATAAATCGAGAGATGCTGCCTCCCGCTCTTGCGTATAGCGAATCGCGTAAGAGACAAGCACCTCAGGCCCATCTTCTCTGCCACCTCATCGCTCATTATCTTCTCTATATATCTTGTACCTGGGTAACAATCGTCTCTGATATGTCATCCACACACGTCGTCCTCAAAGAAGCCGAGTCGAAACAGACTCAATATTCGAAAACGTGGATCACGGCCTCAGGCAGCTTAATGGTGAGAGACACTGGACCTCTATCCTCTTGATATAACTGCCTCTTTAGCTGGATCGTCTTGATGATGCATGGCTGGTCAGCCTTTTTGGCGGCCTCGACAAGCTGACGGTAGATCTCATTTGCCACAATCTTGTACCGTTCGTCTCCGATAACAACCTCATGGGCATGACGGAAATTGGGTTCTTGACCGAGCGTGCGATACACGAACGTGACCGTCTCGAGCCTGACCAACTTGACCAGCTGTTTGGCGATAGCGGCCACCTTCTGACGAAATGCCTCGGTAATTTTTCCTTTCTCCAAGACACGTTGAATCGCTGAACAACGCATGCCAAACTCTCGGACCGCTGGACATAGAACCACGATCTCGCTAAGCAAATCGATATGGATATCTTTGTTGCCGTCACTGAACTCAAGAACGGTCAGGTGAGACTTGTCATGCAGCATGCGGACAGGGTTCAATTCCCAATATGTAGCCGTGGCGATGCTGAGCTCCTCAATTTCAGTTGAGTCGCGGACGAACTCGGTGAGATAAGTATGATCCTTCACATGGATCATGTCTTCATCGTCGAGTGAACGAAAGATGAGGCGCTGGACTTGTGGCGGATCATCGGCACCCATACAACCTTCGAAGAATTTGTGGACATTCTGACAGTCCGTCAAAGTGACATCCTTGATGCTGAGCATATCTAGATCTTCCCACTTGTTGCGCAGTCGGCCGTATGGACAATGCTTGAAATTGATGGTATCGTAGCTGATCTTCGGCACAGATGCGGGCTTGTCGATACTTCCAACCCCGACATCGCTCATGAGATATCCAACGTCAGTATAGGTATCAGCATTGTCGTGGCTGATGCTGGCTGATGAGAGACGAGGCTTGTCATCCTCACATAGACGAGCCACTTTCAGAACGAAATCCTTGACGACAGGCGTGTAGGTCCCCCATGCGGCTTCTCTGTACACGTCACCAAGCCTGTTCGTCCGTCCGTTGATCTTAATGGTGAGCACGCCGTCAGGTCTATGCTCGGAAACCGGCGTCTGGATTTCGAAAGCCGCCGAACAATTCGTTGTACGCCGCGGTCGACCATCTTGATAGATTTCGATGGGCAAGAATTCTTCCAGGGGGTTGACAATGTCTCGTTTCGGTGAGGTGCGGGGAAACTGTATGGTCCGAAGAGTCGTACTAAGCGTCGAACTTTCCGAGGTCAATACTGTCTTGAGAAACTTCCAGCTGGCCAAGTCTAGCGCGGATTTGTCGCAGAATGTGAGTATGTGCAGCTTAGACATACGGATTCCATAGTGGCAGAGTTGGCGGAAGTTCGTAGCTACAAGCCGTTTAGATCTCGCTGAGAGGTCAAATCGCAGTTTGAGAGTCATGGTGTAATTCTGCAGAAATTGCCCATGTATGAGCTTAGCGTCGATAGGTCTCATCTTGGCCAGCTCAAAAGATGCATCCTTCCAGAGAAAAGGCCGGACGGTTTCGAGAAACCCCTTGCTCGTCTTCACCAGATGTAGCAACGCAGTCGCATCGAGCTATTCGGTAGGTTAGCATTTGTCGGTCCACGGCGACCGCCATTTACCTGTTGGGACGAGGCGGCAGGGGACTTACTCGGAGCAATACATCCTCGAATAGCTCCGGGGGCAAGCTGGCGAGCTGGCAAGGGTGAATATCAGCCATGCCCGTGAATTCGGAGATGCAAGGTAAAGTCCAGGTAATAGAATCTCAGTGTGCTACTGACGCGGCTCCAAGTGTCGCTCAGGTAAAGAATCTCGGGGCCCAGGCGCTCAGACTTACGAGGCTAGTAAACAAGGTCACCTGGGCAATTCTGCGGTCACCCACCTTGAGTTCTCTCTTTACTTGTATTTTGTTTGTAAAAGCGCCAAGAGGCCACTCACCTTCACCCTCCTTCGTACTCATTGGCTCACTCACTCTCACTTTGCCTCGGATACACTAGACTGAGGCGCACTCTCACTTTGCTGCCTGGAATATATGCCCTGATGACGTCATAGGAACGGGCTCGTGCGCCTGCCATTGGACATATATTGTGCCCGCCCAGCTACTTCTTTCTCCTAACCCACCCACACGCCTAACTACCGCCGCCGACGGTCTCTTTAGAGCAACGAACCTTCAACAGCTTCGGAAGTATCTTACACGCCTGGTACTGCTCGATGACCTTGGTATTGGACTCTTGACGACGGCAGTTTAGCGCCGTGGTTTCTTCCTTTCTCTTATCCGCAGCCCCATCCTATCGCTGCCGAGAGCCTTCGTAGGGTGATCCTTTCACGCCACTCGGCCGTTTAAATGGGCACTTCAACAGTGCTAGGGAGAATTCTTTCCGGTTCTGAGGCGGGGGTTAGCTCCTGCTGTTTGACCAGCCGGGTCAAAAGCTATTCTCTACTACCGTCTTGAGGTGGGGGTCTCTTGTCAGCGATAGTATGGTGTTGCGTCCTCTCTTCCTTGGTTCGCACTGAAGACATCCATACTTGCCAGGTAGAACAGACCGTTCTAATCTTATCTACCCGCGAGGTGTCCAGGTGCGAGCTGAGGATCGATAGGTCCCTTGCTCACGATCATCTCCGCCAACTCCAGGTATGTTGTCCCTACTAATTAGTGGGCGAGAACCAGGTTCCTTCGGCGTGAGCAACGGATCTCGGCGGAAGTCCCCGCGGGGGGCTACAATTTTTCTTTTCATTGACATGATCACCTTGCGTGGTCAGTTGAGGAAGAGAGTCGTGGTGGGCCTCGGCTGTATGCGTAGTTGCTCGTTTGGAGATATGTAGCCTGCATATCCAGATACTGACTTTAGTTCGCTTATCGGGACATCTTTCCTGGAAAATCTCAATGTCTGACAGATGGGTGTCTGGAGAAGAGACGGGACGTCGCGTACCTACCTAGGTAGCTTCCAGCCCCGGATTTTGGGCGGCAATCGCACCCGCCAAGCTTCCAAGCTTCGCCACCCCCATCAAGCTCGAGAACCACTGTCGCGACCAACGTCTGCCATAATCTACCTCACCTCCAAGCCGATTCTACAGCATCTCAGGTCGAGACCCCTAATGTCGACCTCTCGTGTCCCGTTGGACATCAAAGCTATCGCAATCATACCGTATACCAAAGTACAATCTCAAAGACCAAGCCCAACCTAGAACCAGACCGCAGTCTGAGTCAAAGGCGCACTCTATTCTTTCTTTCTGTGTCCCGTTGGAACGGCTGAACATGATCCAAACCCCCCCTAATCAGTAATGCAGCGATGTTCACACTGAGAACATCACCGTCGAAGTACCACGTAGGGAGTCGCCGGTGAATGAATACGGATATGTATAACTCAACCTGCTGATTGTTTTGCATGTGGCAACTGTTGAGAGGAAGAGGACTTCTACGCAGAGTTGAGACACGCTGTGGTATCCAAAGAGCGTCGGCTTATCGCGAGGAACGTCAAAGATACCATGCGTTGATGAGTATGAAGATAAGAAGAATCAATTTGCGTACTGGTACAAGAAGGCAAAGCTCAAACAATGAAAAGACACCTTGACTACTACACCCGTCGCCAGAACAGTCCAGTCCACAACAACGGACCACCTGGATGCACAAAACATTTCGAATCCTTGTCTCCTCAAACCCAAACCCTCACTACGTCGACCTTTGAACAAGTCGGATTCTGCGGCTCACCCACAAAACCTATCTTCCATGCCAGCGTCCGCAACTTAATGCTATACCTCGAATTACACATGTACCAATTCTTGACCTGTTTCGGTGGAACAACCCAGTCACGGACCTTGCCAGTATCATCTTCGTCGATTGCAATGTACATGCTAGCGCTGTCTTCTTCGAACCACACCAGTTGGTATATGTCGGTCCAGGGCTCGAGCATAATTTCCACGAGATTGGTTCCAGCTTCGTAGTGGAAGCGCATTGCGGACGAGGCGGGATCGTCGCGACCCCAAAGACTCAAGGGCCAGTTGAGGATACCCTGGTTGTCGTAGTTGTAGGAGGATACGTTGTGGTAGAAGGTACTGTAGGGACGTGCAGGGGTGGCGGTCGTGTCATCGGTTAGGCATAGGCCCTTACGGGGTACGGTCCAATTGCAAGCTCCGAGTGCGTGGCTGCTATCTGTCAGTATGAGGAAAAGAGCTGAAGGGTGGTGGTATGTACTCATTGAGGTCATTGTCGGTTGACTTGAGGATAAGACGGAAGCCGCTGGACTGCTGGTTCCACCATAAACTCTGGGCGATCGTGACCGTCTGGGCTAGCAGAGTTGCGAGAGCTAAGGTAAAGAACTTCATGACGTGCTAAGCTTGTGGATGCTGGAAGGATGTGTTCGGAGTTGATTAACAAGCTTGTGGGTGTTGATGATGGAATGCAGAAAAGGAACAGAAAACGGAGGCACGGTGCAGCTTTTGTACGGCATTGATGACGGGTACTTTCCCAGAAAGTGCGGACATCAATCGTAGGAGCTATGCGGACATGAGGAAGTGGCTTCTACACAAAATGTGTGTATGGCAGGAACTAACGTTGCAGCTTTCTACCCTTCTACGTTGATCAAAGAAAAAGGCTAAATAGGTCTGCAGTCTACATTAATATGAAAGCATACAAAGTACTTGACCTAGCGTTGATGTAGGCTCTAGACCTGTCCATTTTTTTTTCTTGTGTAAGGTGCTTCAAGTATCTTTCGTGAACTCCGAATGCTGCCGCCACTTCTCCCCAAACTTGAAGATGCATAACGGGATGATGACCAAACACAAGCTCAGTGCACCCAAAAGAGTGAAGCCCAGCCCATAACCAAGTCCGTCAGACAATGGACCAGTCGTGAGTGGCAGGAAGGTGCCCATAAGGCATCGCGTGACGATGACGCCCGTCATAGCCGATGCGGAGTACATACCGCAAGCGTCAACGACGTAAGCAGATAACGGTATAACAGTCAGAAGGAGCGAGAATCCCATCAGGGCCACCGAGGCGAGCAGCAGGAGTACAGGCAGACGGTATTCTGCGATCCAGCCGTATGCGATTACCGAGAAAGGCAAGAGGATCGCACCCAGGATAGAAAGAGGAAGGCGGTACTCAGGTTTTCCTTTTTCGCCGTCGGGCCCGCGGAGCTTGACGTATATCCTATCGAGCGTAAAGTTGCATACTAGTACACTGCAGAAAGATCCGACGCCTAGATATCTATTAGCTGCCGTGGGTTCAAGCATATCAAGATACTTACTAAACGAGATAAAAGTGTAACCAATCTGGCCGAACTCGAAGTCATACCTGTCCAGCAAGATCGAGGGTAATGAAACGCTGACAACGTAGAAGAAGCTGAACGCGACCGAGGCAAACAGCGAGAGAAGCATGAGTACGCTCGAACCGAACAACACCGCAAAAGGCCTGGTGATGGAATGCCAGAGCTTCGCTAGATGCTCATGCGTGCTCTTCGACTCGGGAACCTTTCCAGTTTCCTGCATCGTCTTCGCTGCTCTTCTTCTCAAGACAGCCATCTTGTACGTCTCTCTGAAGTAGACGAGGAACAGAACTTCGCACACGATAGCTAGTCCGGCGGCGATGGTCAACATGCGTCGCCACCCTATCGTCTCTGCGATGGCGCCAGAGATGGCAGGGCCGATAGCTCCTCCAATGAGCGGCGCAAGCATAACCAAAGACATTGCGGAGCCGCGTTGCTCGCTCTCGAAGATGTCTCCGATAATCGCTGGATTGAGGACGTTTGAAGCGACGCAAAGACCTGTGAGCATCCTCGCAGCAATGAACATGCCGCTGTTCTGGCTGCAAACTGCTAGGATAGTCGCAGCGATGAAGCCGATGTTACAAACGTTGAAAACAGGATAGCGTCCAAAAATCTCGGATAACGGTGCGATAAGTAATGGTCCAGCGGCTTCTCCAAGTTCCCAGATAGTCACGAGGAGCGCGCTGTTTGCAGAGCTCGATTGCTTCCCATCGAGATCCGAGACGATTTTGCTGGCGACCGGTACCACGCCAATGCAAGTAAAGGTTCTGTAGACATGGTCAGCGTCGAAGTTCTCCTGACAATTGGAGTGCTGCGAGAATATGCATACACGGTGAACGCCATAAGAGCAAGCAACAAAACGATACCCCATTTGAAACCTGGCGACCAATTGCGAGGGTCCTCAGGGTCCAGAGGCTCAAAATCAAGCGCGTCATTTCCAGCTTCCTCGGCATCATTCTCTTGTTGGACGCTTTCGTAGTCATGCGATATTATTCTGAGCAGTGGTTGCTCTTCGTCCGTGAGCACCATTGTGGCTTTGTTTTCACGGAAGGATTCCTCTAAAAATATTCAAGATGGGATGATTGCGAAGCACCGAGGTTTACAGGACCCAGGAACTTTTTCACGGGACGAGCGCGGCGGATTGTGACTAATGAACGCCCTAGGGCGTGTTTGGGTATGGGGTAATCTTTAGCGTCGCTCAACTGCGGTGGTGAGAAACTGGCATCTGTTGAGCCGTCAAAGTCCGTGCAGCATGCATGCTTCCAGCCTCGTATGCAAAGTAAGATGATTGGTCGGTGTAGCATCGTTCCGACGTTCGATCTGTATTGAACTAATATTTTATCGTGTTTACTATTCATCTACGGCTATTCTCAAATCCGCTGTGTTGCACGCCACCTTGTACAAGGTAAAAACTAAACAGGTGCGCTAGAGTCTACATTATAACAAAAACTCAAGTTTCAAAAAGTATTAAGGCATTGTAGCCTTATAGCCATTCTTCTCACTTGCGAAGAGCTAGACAAGCAAGTCTTCTGTGATGTTCGTTCAGACTGTACGTCTGAGAAAACACCCTCTTGCGACCACCACAGGTCAGCCTGGCAGTTCGTGCAGCATCCCGCTTTGGCTTGCACGCAACCTCTGAAGCTTGACGCCTATCCAATTCTCTCTTATTCCCAAAGAGTTTTCACACTCTTTACAGGGGTACTGTGCAGAATCCTTTGCTTCCTTGTCCCTTCCACGTCGGTACTTCCGGATGTGTTCGACAACAAGCACCAGTGTCTGAGCAAACCCTAGATACGCTTGCATATCGAGCTATTCCGGTAACGTCAACCTGGGACAAAATGAACAGGCCGCAACCTACGTTTTTGTGGTTACAGCCTACATCAACATAAAAACGTGCAAAGTGGGTAGCCTAACGTCAATGTAGGCTCTAGGCATGTTCAACTTTTTTCTTTGTATGGTATTGTATCTGTCTGGCTATCGCATCCCGTTTCAGCCATAGTTTGCTCACGGCCCGTAGCCGGCAAAAGAATCATGTGTACCGTGTACTTCACTACATGTCACCATGTCGTCGTGAGCCTCGCGGATATGCGCCGATGGCGAACATCATGGACAAGATGTCGATTGGTTCCAGATCCCGAGCCACCTGAAACCACAGCTCCATGGGCATCCGATCGAGACCTTGCGGTAGGGGTCGTCTTCTGTTGCTTGTATTCGAGGCCCTATCCACACGTACTATGCTGAAGTAGGTGTGCGCACTAAGCTCCGGGGCGATCCGATGCCGCTGCAGGGTAGGATAGATGGCTAGAGCAAGGTTCATGATATTACCGACACCGGCGTACTCGATCATCATGAGGAGGAGTTCAGCAGGAAGGAGATTGAACAATCTATCGCATCTGTCATCAGACGGTGGCTTGTGTGGTGGGGGCGGAGGTGGAGGTGGAGGTGGAGGTGGAGGCGGAGGCGGAGGCGCTGCAGACATTGTTCAATCGATATGCGGTTTGTTGGGTGACTCTGCAGCGACAGCCAGTAGCCAGCGGTAGATGTAGCCGGAGAGAAACCAGGCTCCTACAGCGACTGCGGCGATGTATACCGCGATTGGGCCAAGTGATTGCGGGAAGACGTTCAGTATGAAGGGATCGAGTACTATGGTTGTTAGACGACGCATGACATATTAGTGTAATCAGACGTACTGATGTCGGCATCGACTGGAGGCGGATAGTCCATCAATGTGCGATTGGTCGAATAGTAGGACGCTGCAGCCTGGAGGCGCAAGAACAGTACCGACTCTGGGGCTGCAGGCGGCGCTTCCTTGGTGTTTCGGTCGTCGTCCACTGGGTCGCGTCGAACGACTGAGCTATACTCTGATAACGAGGATATGAATTCGGGTGTATCAAATACGTGGGTGACTGAGTAAGTGTCAAGCCAGAAGTCGGTGGGTTGCTGGGCACGTCAGTACAAACAATCATGTGAGACGATGCATGCGATATGCAACGGGAAGGAGCAGTAGACTCACGGTGGCCGGCCAGCATATGCGCGCTTCGTACCTCCTGCCGTCTTGCAGGCCGCGAAGCAGGTACCAGGACTCGAAACCGCGGGGCAGCGACTCGGTGGGAAACTGGACAGGGACTCGGATGGGGAGGATGGTGGACGAGGGCGACAGGTAGTGCAGGCCGAGGTCATCTAGCCCGGGGCGGACATTGGAGAGAGTCACAGGGCTGGGACCAAGGAATATCGTCTTCTCGACGTTGGCATTCACCGTCCAGGCCTGTGTGACGATGCAGAGCAGCCCGGCGGAGAGGCGCATCTTTGGCGGACAGCACGTGAAGATGGGGGAGAGGTGGGAGGGCAGCACTTCATTGTCTCTCACGTCGGCCAGCGCAGCGCCATGGGCAGGCAGAGGAACGGCAGGCTTGGAATTCGTGCGATGAGGTCGTGTTTCTCGCGCAACGGCCAGGCAGCTGCATTGGACGTGTAGCTTAGCGCCGTGGTCCGTGATAGGCGGACCCTTTTGGTCTAAAAGTTCGATTCCACAACACAACAGCACTTCTCCCCCACTGCTCCACTCCCACCGCCAGCAGCTTCAACCCTCGCCGCCCAGGTTCCCCCGAGACTCCATTTCGATACCCCAATTACTACCTTTCCTCAAGCCACCATGAGAGAAGTCATCAGTCTGAACGGTATGTCGTCCCTTGCGCCATGCGCGCCCTGACCGCCTGCAGCGGGACATCCCTGGCTATTTGTTGATGCTGACTTTGTACGCGTCTAGTCGGCCAGGCCGGTTGCCAGATCGCAAACTCTTGCTGGGAGGTGAGTTGCACCCGACGACACGCGCTGCTGCTGCTGCATCCTGCTGTGCAGCAGAAGAAGGGGCTGCGGATAGCTCACCGCCAGTGCGCGATATACTGACTCGGCTTTCCAGCTCTACTGCCTCGAGCACGGCATCCAGCCCGATGGTTTCCTCACCGAGGAGCGCAAGGCCCTGAACGACGACCACGGCTTCAGCACCTTCTTCTCCGAGACTGGTAGGCCGCTTTCGCCCCAGAGCGCCGCTCCGACTGCTAA